GCAAAGCAGCCATGTTCAGCCTCCATGCCCCGGAACAGAAACCAGGGCTTCTCGGACGGCGCTTTATCCCAGTCTCTGGCACCCGCACCATGATATTCTGCTTCATGCACAACCCGGCACCCGAATGGTACTATTCTTATGACAACAGGTGAAACGGTGTTTTCTCCATGTTGCTTCGTTGCTGCCACAGAGAGTGGCACGCCTGCAGTAGCAAACAGGTCGTATTTGATGTGACAATGGACCACTTGCACTTCAAATCACCTAGCAGCGCATGCCATGTTGCGGCGATCTGCGTCTGATTCTGGCTGGCATTGCACGTCTCATCACTCCATGTTGGCTTTGCGAAGCAAACAAGCCATGCAAGGCAAAACGAAGAAGAAGCCTGCCGATCAAGGCTGAGCAAGCAATGCAATGCTTGATGGAACTCGTGAATGCCGAAATGTCAATGCTTGGGGCCCTTGGGGGCTTCGGCTGTATTCTGCGGCGCCGTCAGGCGCGCTATCAGTGCAGGAAGTAGTTCGGCCGCTCTCTTGTTGTCGGCGCATCCCAAAACAGCAGGGGAATGGCAAACACGGGAACTTGGGGCAAACTATGCGACAAGCAGAAGGCTTGATTTCTTCGAGTCCTTTCAGAGTTGGACGGTGTGAGCGTGTACGTGATGCAATCCTCTCCTTTGAGCTCTCTCACGTTGCGACACACCAAGAGGGGCAGCTTGCACAAGACGAGCCACAGATTGACCTCACGGAAGCAAGATGCCGGCCTTCTCTGCGTAACCGTCGGCAAATCCACTGCTAACATTGGAGACACCCAAGATTGCATTCCAGCAAGGCAAAAGCGCGCGTACATTTGCGCGGATGCGGCAAGCGCTGGCGATGGCTGAATCGGAGACTTTACGGTTTTGCACGAGGCCTGATTTATCAGCAGAACCCCAAAGACTTCAAAAACGGGAGAGTTAAAATAGAGGATTGGCTAAGAACAATCACTGTCATTTGTTAAATCACGACTTGGACACACGAAGGCAAAGAAATCCACATGATGGATTTAAAACGCCGACTTCCAGCAAAATGTACATGATTGATACAAAAAAACAACCACTATAGACTGTCTGATGATGTAAATGCGATATCACAAATGCGAGAGCAAGATGAATCCGCCCTTATGCATTCTGAAAATGATGTGGTTAAGGTCGTTCATCAACTCAACGAAGCGGGATACGAGCCCTACAAACTGCTAATATTCTGTGTGAGTGTTCTTTCAAGAAAACCAAAAAATACAATAAGCAATATACTTCATCACAGAGTTATTCCAAGGATGGGATTGATGAAATGGATTGACGAAGAGACATACAATAATATTGTCAGTGCTGTGTTCAAGTTTCAGAACGATGTGTTTAAGCAAACCATTGATCCTCAGGTTGAACACAAAATCGGCCGATAAAATAGGTGGCAACGCTTCATCAAACAAAGCCCAAGAATCCGACCAGGAACCGAGCTCTTTCAAGCATGTGACTTTGCTGCACGAATTTGTTTTTGACTTATAAAACAGGGTTCCGATTTTTCCCTGACAGCTGAAAGCCATACGGGCTCTAGCGGGGCTGATGAGCTTCTGAGGGCACCACCAAGGGGAGCCAATATTGAAGGAAGTTGTCTGACGACGCAGCACAGATATGCGAAGCTACGCCTGAATCAAGTTGGATCACTAGCAATGAAAGCTGTATGCTCTATCAGCAATACATGGGTGTGGAACTGTCTGCACTGGATGTAGAAAATACCTAGGAATAGTAGGACTCTTGCATTTATGAAAGGAGATCCACGCTATCTGCACTCGTCCCCTTCTCGCGCCGCACCTTGTAGGAGTAGCCCTTCAGGCTCTCCACACAGCTGGCCACCTGAATCCAGGTTTGATTGAACAAACCACGCCCAACGCATTGACCGAACACAACACACGGGCCTTCCCCTTGCATTCTGAGAAAGCAAGTGATTCAAGTGTAGGAAACTGGCAGGGTCACCTTGCCCATCACCTTGGAATCTGCAGAAGGCCATGTCCAACAACTCTGGCTCCATGTGACTGTAAATTGAGACAAGCAAAGTCATGCCGAATGTACGCAGCATGCCTGCTAAGGGAAAGCGACGGAAACATGTTTGCATGTGCATTGCATTGCAGTTGCAAACCATTGTTCGATCTCCATTAGGCTTTTGACTGCTCGCCTTCCTAAGTTCGAAACCGAACTATCACAACGGCCACTACAGTTCATGTCCAGGAAGGCAAGGGCGAGACATACACACTCACAATCTTCGCCACGCTAGACGCACGCCTTCTCATTTGTGCAAACTTGCGTCGGCCAAGAAAGCAACAAACGAGCCTCGGAATTACTCATGAGCGCCAGCACCTTCAGCACGAAATACGACACACGCCCAGCACACGGAAGTCACGCATCCACTGAAACGCAGTCCTGGCTAGCACGCTGCAACTACCACCTCTACCATGAAATCACCATCAGAGGCAGAAAGAAACGCATCCCGTGCCCTCGCTCCTTTGTTTACTTTGGACCCCCGCCCCAAACAAAAAAACGAAAATCGATGTAAAAAAAAATGGCGCTACGGCGTTCCATTTTCTGGTTCGCCTTTCAAACCCGCGATGGAAAAAAAACAGGCCAAGGCCACCCGTCCGGAAGAAAAACAAACCCGACTCCGCGGCTTCCGCGGCTCCGCGACCTCCGCGGCTTCCGCGGCTCCGCCTGCTTGGGCTCCATGGCGTGCAGCAGCGCGCCGAAGGCCAGGCACATGGGCCGGCGCAGCGGCTCCAGAGGCACCGGGCCCCGGACCAGGCCTCGGCGGCTGGGGGGGGCAGGCGGGGGGCGGGGAGGGGTGGGAGGGAATGGGAGGGGTGGGAGGGAATGGGAGGGGAGGGGTGGGATCGGGAGGGCGGGAGGGGTTGGGAGGGGTGGGGGGGTTCGGAGGAGGGGGGGGGGTTGGGAGGAGGGGGGGTTGGGAGTGGGTCTTTTGGGGTTTGAGGTTTGGGGTTTGGGGTTGGGAGTGCCAACAAAAGCGTGAGCTGCTCCGCACTAAGTACACGCTTTCGAAGGCAATGGCAACTTCGACTTCCCATAGTGCAACGTCACAGCTGTTGTTACCTCGACTCTCAGCAAACAAATGCTCGCGAACGGATCCCAGACTAGGACAGACTGACTGGAAAAAGGCTCGCCCCTGAGCGCGAAGCGGTGCGCATATGCCAGGGACACAAATGCCGTAGGGCTCAGTGAGAGGAGCCTGCCGGACCTGGCGGCCGCACAGATGCGGGGGCAGGACCCAAGGCACTGCGGCTTGGCCCCGCGCAGGCCCCAAAATCCAGCACGCCCTCCAGGATCCAGTGTTGGCACAGATCTTCTGATCGGATGTCATGAGTGACCAGCAAGTACTGCCATCTTTGGGGTACTGACCTTCTGGCGAACAGCGAAACGCCACATGCCTCTGCTCAATGGGGCTCGTGCAGTCCCGAAGTGACTGGGGTGTGCCCAGAGCAAACATTGAAATCGAACAAGCAGTTTCACCAGACGATTTTGAGTTTCCACGGGACGGCTTCAGCGGTCCCGGTGCTACCTGGGAATTGATTCCACCCTCAACTTTGATGGTCCGGCCGGGCCTCAACGCTGCGCGACTCAAACAAACAGGGACTCGTGGTAGAAACCACCTATGTTCCAGGGGTTTGGCCCATGTTTTGAAGACAAGGATCTCTGAAGAGAATGGACACGAAAAGACTTCGACTTCAAGATGCCCCTCTTCCCGCAAGAGCGGGAGGGCGCACTTCAGGCGCTCGGTGAGAACCTGCAGTGCCCGGTGGTCCAGAGTGCGCAGCTCTGCCTGCCAGGGAAATCCAAAACGGTTGCCAAACCTGAGGTGCCCAAAATGGAACCTTGGTAAATGGAAACATGGACTAACACCTGCGGTCCCCTAGTGGTTTAATTTTGACCCACACCCAGGTGAAAGCAACATGAAAGTCTGCCCCGGCTGGCACTCTCTGAAATGCTGGCTGATTGGAGAACTGTCCAGGGAAGCCACTGGCAAAGAAAGCGTGCAGGCAGAGGAGTCTAGGCTTCCTACTGTGGGAACTCTAATCATCCCCTCATATGCCCCATTCAAAGAGCTTAGACTATAGCGCCTCTTGTTTACTGTCAGTCATCCCTTAGCTCTCAGAAGACCACCTCCAGGCAAGTCACAAGCAAAGCAGCCTTGCCAAAACCCAAACTACCTTTTGGCTCTACGGTTGAAGCCCTAAATATTGCAAGTGCGGAGCAGGAAACCAAAGGGCACGGTCCACTACGGGAAGCACCGTGACATGATATCTGTGGCCCCCCTTCCCCTGACACAATGTTGAACTTGCAATATATTGGGCCTCGGAAGACGGGTTACGCGCTTGGCTTCAACATTGTAAGTGGGGGAGAGGGGTCCGCACGCAGCGGGCGATGCCACAGAAATGGTGTCAACATGTGCCTCGGTGGCACTTGCAATATTTAGGGCTTCCACTGTACCAAAATGGTTCAGCGGCCACCAAAACCCAAGTTTACTTTTGGTTCTGCCAAGATGGCTCTAAAGTTTCAACGTGGCCCTCTCACGCACAGTAGATCCACATACAAAAATTGGCATTTCCTTCGGGGAGGTAATTATTTGGGGCTGCTCCGCCGACCGAAAAGAACGGACCGGACCTCGATAGGATTGTTTGTGGTAGGGGTGATAGGGCATGGCTGGCTTGTCTTGATCTGGAAGAGTTCATTCATGGTGGTTGAGGGTCACTACACACAAACGCAGGTCAACTGGACAACCGTCAGTTTGCTTCTGGAACCCTTTTTGGGGGAAGGGGCGGATTTTTCATGCGGCCAACGTATGGGAGTGCTCTCAAGATCTCTGTGAAAATTTATTCCAGCCAAACCAACTCGTCCGGTCACAAGGCCGCGCCAGCGCCAGCACCGGTCGCGACAGCGACTGCATGGGCACGGTGCTCATCTTAGCAGCTGCATCCCGGGACAGCGCCTGGTGATTGGGAGGCCGGTTGGAGAACCACTGCTGATACCGGAGGGATACACAAACCGAGTTCTTTGAAAGAACATGCAAAAGATCGCCCTTCATCATGGATCCTGGAAACTACCGGCTCGCCAAAGGCTTGTCTTGTTCTGTGTGTGTGTGTGTGCGCGTTGTCTTTTCCCTAAAATTGGCAAGACGTCTGTGAAGGAACCCCGCCTCTTGGACGGTCACAACGTTGCTTGACCCACTGCAGTTAGACTCAACAGCCATGGCAAGTGCCTCACGTCAAGAGTGATGCCCACTGGACCACGTAAACCGCCCTCCATAGGTACTCGTTTTCCCTGCGTCCAACAAAGCCGAAAGACTTCTTTAGATTGCTTTGGAAACCTGCGTTTTTGTGCAGAAGCGTGAACTTGACTTGACTGTGTTCTGGAATGGACGAACAGGTTGCAAAGGAACATGGTGTGCAAGCGCTTCAACAGTGCGATGTATTGCCAGGAGGGATACTGACCATCTGGTGATGTGCATCCTTAACAAAATGCAAGCCCTCCATTGGATAGATGGAAGGTGCCATTGGCTTTTGCCAATGCTGCAGAAATTCATCTGACTTCTCTGCAGCCCGAAAGCATTCGTCTGTCTCCCAGGCTCGCTGCGCTGCGCTTTCCCGCCCGAGCGCCTTCACCAGGCGCTTTGCAGCCTCGCAAAAAGAACTCGGTTCCTTTCTGCCCTGCTAAAAGTCTAACTTCTAGTGGTTTAATACGGAAAACCCACTAGTTGGCAAAAAGTTGAAGTGCTAGCATCCAAGCAAAATGCGACAAAGAGAAGCTCTGGCTGGCAGCCAATACCTTTCGCTGGCAGTACCCTTCAATTCAAACGAGGCCTCCAGACTCTGTGATTGGATGCTCCGACCTACAGCTCCAAAATCAAATATTTCTTCGTCTGCTGGAGTCTGTATCGGGCAACGGCATAGCTTGCCAAATCGCCAGGTCGAAAGTTCCAAAACGCCTCGTCGTAGAGCGGGTGGGGCAGGCCCAGCGCTGCGGTGCTGCGGTCGAAGGCGCTTTTGTGGAGCGCTAGCAACAGCAGCAAAGCCTCGCAGCTGTTAACCGCAATGTGACTGGAAAGCAAACGCTCCCGTGCGCTTTGGCAAAGTGCCAAAGTTTACAATGAAACACCTGGAAAGATTCGCCAACAGTGCTTTGAGCGACTCGCGTCTTTGCTTGCCACGAACGACCAGTAAAGAAATAGCACGCAGCAGGCTCCGGGGGGCTATTGCCATGGGTTGACTCTGCACTCGGACCTCCAAAGAGCATCCGTTTGAGATGCAGAAAGCATATTCTTGCTGGGGCTCAGCAGGGAACAAGGGAATGACCCCAAAAAACCATCCCCTAGGTTTCCTTTAAGGGAATCCCCAGGTTCATTCCCTCATTTCCTCCTCAGCACCAGCAAGTATTAGCTGTTTGGATGACCATCGGTTCCGCCCATGCCCCCGGTGACAGGTTCCGCCAACCAACCAGCCAGCCCCCAACCCCGTACCCGCCGGTCATGCCAACAAAGGCAAGGCCGCACACGGCCTGACACTGATGCGGACCATCAGACCAGCTCGTTGTCCTTACCCTTTTCAAAATGCATCAAGGATGATCGCCTTCAAGACTCTTCACCCGAACTTTGCGAAAGTTGCTCTCTCCATCCTCCGCCAACCGGACATAACGAGGTCAAACGCCGGTGACACCCACTGCCCCACTGCCCCTTCGGCTCGAGACACCTCACGGTCCTTGCTCCCGATGAAGTCGCTGCGAGCCTCGCCGCACGAATCAATGCCAGGGTTGGATCTCGAAGTACATGCTCCGTTGCACAAATGAAATGGCCTCGTCTCAAGAGCGGGAACCCGCTTGCTAGAGTTGCTTCTTGAGAAGGGGCAATCTGCAAAGGCAGTCTGGTTCACCGTGCAAAGTGGCAAGCCTGTCTCCAGAGATGCCTAAGGCAAGACCCACAGCTGCTTCTTTGTTAAGGTTGATCGGGCAAGCTGCTGCTTAACCCACTCAATATTTCACAACTCACTGCTCCACCATTCTGCTCTCTTCACAAGGAATTCAAGGCCATCAAAGCAGAAGAGATGGCGCAGACGCGAGAAGGAAATTAACAGTGTCTCAGGACAGCTCACCCCCCATTCAATCTCAGAGAAAGCGGTAGCCGGGGTGCTGCATTTAGCACGCAAATAAGGGCCACGACCCTTCCAGCACACCTCCCCCACCCTCAGCAGTATTTCAATGGAAGGGACACGCACATAAATCTGACACTGCAGCACAGTGCCGTGCAACAGGTTACTGGTTCAGCGCGCACCTTCGCAACATGCCTTGTCCCCAGAAATCTCACGGATCTCGAAACCCCCGACTTGTCGCCATGGTGTGTGCGTGTGTGTGTGTGTGTGCCAAAAGAGGAATATAAATCGCTCCCATGTCCTCCATCCTATGTGTGTGGCAGCTTCTTTTGATGGGTCCAACCTTTTTGTTGGTAGGTTCCAAAGGGAAACCAAACCTACCAACAAAAACCTCCAAAACGGGCTTCAACCTTTAAAAAAAAGAACGGGAGACCAACAGGGAAACGGGATCCTTACATTATACACCTAAACATTGCCTTGCAAATGGTGGTTTCCCTTTTTGGTGGAAAAAGCCATGTTTCAAATGGTTGCAAAATGCTATCTTTTAAGGAGCCCTGCGTCTATGTTGGGGGGTCTCACCACACGCTTCTGCGCGCCTCCAGCTGCTCCAGCAGCGCCCGGCAGCTCTTCACGTCCAAGGCGCTGGCCTGACCCAGCGACAGCAGCGCCTGGGGGAAGCTGGAGGCGTTGGAGGCGCTTGGACAGTGGGTGAAGTAGGATGAAGTATGGTGAAGTATGGTGAAGTATGATCTTTGGATGCAAGAAGGACGAGGGGAAGTATCATGGAGTATGATGAAGTATGATGTTTGGATGCAAGGAGGAGGAGGAGGAGGAGGAGGAGGAGGAGGAAGAGGAGGAGGAAACATGTGAGTTCTAAAGAAGTGCTTTTTGGATCAAAGCAACGGGGATCAACTGCAGAACTCACTCAACACGCACCCAAGGATGTTACCACAACAAAAAAGCAGCGCTTGCGTTCAATGGCTGCTCCCTGGGTTGGTAGAACACTGCAACTCAGGTGCCTGCTTGACTGCCCTTTTTGGTAAGGATCCTAAGACACGTTGAAAGGGGTGACGATGGACAGCGACGGTTCTTGTTTGCTGGCCAATTCAAGTGCCAGGCAATGCAATGTCCAAACATGTGAGGGCACGTTCACCCCAACCAATGGGTGGGTGGAGCTGCTTGAGCAACAAAAGAGTGGTGTTACGCACCAGATTTCGCACTACATTCAATGAAGGGCACTTCGAGGGCAAGCAGTGGTGCCTTATGGGCATGTAAAGGAAAAACTGTCCTCAGTACGGCGAGGCTAGCAGGGACATGCAACGTGTTGGGCGTTGCTTCAAAAAGGAGATTGTGAGTGTTGCCACTTGCACCGCAACATGTTCAAGGCCAAGCTATACTACTGAAGCGTTGGGCTCGCTGTTGAGATCTTGCAACAAGCTGGTGCAGTGCTTCATGCCTAGGCCAGCGACCAAAGGTTTGATCCGGTCTAAGTGTTGGACCAAGGACACACCATGACTTCTATTCAACCCCCGTACTCACCTAAGTGGGTCTGCCCGGCGCGTTTCACTATTAGTGCGGCTCAGTACGGTTCGTGTGCGTTTCTGTGTGCGTTTTCAATCCGTTTCGCTTCTTTGCGTTTCCGCCCGGCAAAGGTACATGGATGGAGACAGAACACAGTCGCAGATCCTACGGTTTGCTTTCTTAGGCTTCGAAGCAAGGGAAACCAATTAAATGGGAGACAGTCTTCCGGTTTAGCTTTTTCAGGAGAGGAGAGAAGCAAAACCTCGAAGATGCCAATCTCCCGGCTTTGCCCTTTTTAACCGAGGAAAAAAGCAAAACCCTTCGGGGGTTACAATCGTCCGGCTTTGCTCTTTTAAGGCGAGGAACAAAGCAAACCCCTTCAAAAGTAGCAATCTCCTGGTTTTGCTTTTTTCAGGAAAGGGAAAAGCAAACCCCTTCACATGTGCCAATCTCCCGGCTTTGCTTTTTTTAAGGAGAGGAAAAACCAAAACCCTTTGCCAATTTCCCGATTTTGCTTTTAGGAGAGGAAAAATGCAAATCCCTGCAAAAGTGCCAATCTCCCGGTTCGTGCGCTTGCAGCATAGAGGACAGAACGGGCAACAGGCGTTCGCTGGTGAGCCAAAACTTCACCAGAACAAAAGCTGTGCAATGACTTGTGAAGCCACATCCACCTACAAACAATCTGCCTCCTCTGTCCCAAACCTTTCTTTTTGCTTTACTCGGGACCCAGAAAAAGCAAAACAAGCCAGAGTGTGGCCTACAAATCCACCACAAAATATAGCGTGATTTTGCCTTTTCTATGTTGTTTGCGTTTCACATGCTCTGCGTTTCTGCGCGTTTCCCTGCGTTTTTTAGGGCCGCGTGTCCACCCGGCACGCGATTTTCCCCCGCTTAGCTACTCACCTACAATGCCTTGGAGAAGCTGGCGGACTGTGCACCTGCCCTCAGACTGACCCCTGGCACCGGTCCATGCGCCCAAAACTTTTGCTCAAAGCTTCGGCCCCCTGCGCCTTGATGAGGGTGCGAGAGCCCCACAAGACCCAGAAGGGCCTCGGCAACATCAGAAAAGAAATCGTCTCTCCACGATTTTTTTAGGCACGCCAGAGGTCATGTTGACTGCGTGTTGTTTTTTTTGACAACTCTGCATTGTCAAGTTGACTTAAAAATGGGCGGCTTCCATATCGTCGGCTTCCTTGCGGCACGAAAAAGTACCAGAAAAAAAACACCCGAAAAAAATCGCAGGTTCTCTTTTTGGGGGGTCTGTCTTTCGAGGGTTACCCCCTGCCTGTGGTTTTTGCTC